TGTGCGGAGACCAGTTCAGCATCAATGGCGGTCTCCAAGGCGACAGCGATGCGGCCGCTTGCTGTGGACCTAAGGAGTCTGGCAGCCTGCCACAGGGAGCAGCCATTGGCATCGATGGGGCTCGGCTACGGGGAGCTGCAGGGCTTCAAGAACAAGATGGACCTTGACTGTGGCCTTCTGAAGCAGGTGGCGGGGCGGTCGGCGAGTCGGAAGCGTCGTTCGCTGAAGTCACCATCGAAGGCCCCATCAAGCAGTGCGAGGACGGCGGGATTCTGGCTTCAGAGAGGCTGGATCCAGCTGGACAAGAAGGACCCGCGGTCTTGGTGCAAGACAAAGTTGCTGGCCAAGAAGAGCGCGGCGTCCGACCAGGAGAGCGAGGAGGGCGAGGACGAGGCGCGGGGCCGCAACTGGCCGAGGGCAGCGCGCAGGGCTCGCAGACAAGCGGACACGGCACGCGACAAGATGGAGAGCGCCCCCCTGGAGAGCGCGGATGTTGATGATGATGATGGCTTTGATTGTGAGGTCTATTGTGATATCGATAGTGAGACCGAATGTGAGATCGATAGTGAGATCGATTGTGAGATCGATACTCCGATCGATTGTGAGATCGATCGAATGAAATAGATCGAGTGATATCGATTGTGATATCGATCGAGTGAGATCGATCGAGCGAGACCGATAGATAGTGATATCGATAGTGAGAGCGATAGTGACACCGATCGACTGAGACGTTGGTTCCTCCCCCCCCGAACCGCCTTATCACCCGAAGGGTGGTCGTATAGGTATGAATAGTGTGATCGACAGCAAGATCGATTGTGGGATCGGTAGTGATATCGAGAGTGAGATCGGTAGTGAGATCGATAGTGACATAGATCGATGATGATGCCGATAGTGGGATCGACCGGAAACCTGCGAACCCGGGACCCAAAAATTGGAACCCCGCCGCCCATCGAACCCCGCCGCCCATCGAAATCGGCCCGGAACCAGAAACCGGGAACCGGGGAACCTGGAACAGGGAGCCCGGGAACCCGGCCGCCCACCGAAATCGGCTCCGCATTTTTGCCAAATCTTTCAATATCCGCTAGGACCCCTTCAGTGCAAGCACTGATTGGGGAACAACATCGTTGATGTCATTTGGATTGACACTGGTTCTCCTCCTCCTCCTCCTCCTCCTCCTCCTTCCTCCTCCTCCTCCATCCTCTCCTCTCCTCATCTCCTCCTCCCTCTTCCACCCTCGCCCCCCTCTCCGTCTCTTCCACCGCCTCCTCCTTCCCCACTCCTCCCCCCTCCTCCTCCTCTCCTCCCTCCCCTCCTCCCCCCCCCCTCCCCCCCCCTCTCCCGCTCCCCCCCCCCGTCCTGGAGGAACTTTGCCCGCATCCCCGCGTGAGCCGCGCCACGGGGAGAGCCGTCGGATCGGGAGCGTCGGCCAAGGGAGGGGGCGGCGCCGAGAGCGCCGTCGGGGGCGGCGCCGCGCGCATCGCTGGGGGGGCCTGCGGGGCGAGAAAGAGAGAGAGAGAGAGAGAGAAAGAAAGAGAGAGAAGGCCCGGCGGCGGGCGGGGCGCGCGGCGGCCGCGGCAGTGCGGCCCGCGCCACGGGCATCCGAGAGGCCCGCAGCGGCCGCGCCCTGCCGGCCCCTGTAGGGCGGGCGGGCGCGGACGCGCGGCGGGCGCGGGGCCGCTCTGCGCCCCGAGACACATACCGAGAGGCACGGCGCCGCCTGATCTGGAAGTACAGCCGCGGGGACAGGTCGGTGAGCAAGGAGGAGGAGGGGGAGGAGGAGGAGGGGGAGGGAAGCAGGAGGAGGAGCGGAGGAGGCGGAGGAGGAGGAGGGGTGGAGGATGCGGAGGAGGCGGCGGAGGAGGAGGAGGAGGAGGAGGAGGGGGAGGGGAGGGGGAGGGCTGGAGGGGAGGGGAGAAGGAGGAGGAGGAGGAGGCGGAGGGGGAGGGAAGGAGGAGGGGAGGAGGAGGAGGAGAGAGGAGGAGGAGGAGGAGGAGGAAGGAGGGAGGAGGAGGAGGAGAGGAGGAGGAGGAGGAGGTAGGGGGAGGAGGGGGGGAGGGCGGAGGAGGAGGAGGAGGAGGAGGAGGAGGAGGAGGAGGAGGAGGAGGAGGAGGAGGAGGAGGAGGAGGAGGAGGAGGAGGAGGAGGAGGAGGAGGAGGAGGAGGGAGGAGGAGGAGGAGGAGGAGGAGGAGGAGGAGGAGGAGGAGGAGGAGGAGGCGGAGGAGGAGAGGAGGAGGAGGGGGAGGAGGAGGGAGGAGGAGGAGGAGGAGGAGGAGGAGGAGGAGGAAGGCGGAGGAGGAGGAGGAGGAGGATGGGGAGGAGGGAGGAGAGGAGGAGGAGGAGGAGGAGGAGGAGGAGGAGGAGGAGGAGGAGAGGAGGAGGGGAGGAGGAAGGGCGGAGGAGGGGGGGGAGGAGGGAGGAGGAGGAGGAGGAGGAGGAGGAGGAGGGAGGAGGAGGAGGAGGAGGAGGAGGAGGAGGAGGAGGAGGAGGAGGAGGAGAGGGGGGGAGGAGGAGGAGGGGTATGAGGAGGAGGAGGAGGAGGAGGAGGAGGAGCAGCAGCAGCAGCAGCAAAAGCATCATCAGCATCAGCATCAGCCATCATCGTCATCATCAGCATCATCAGCATCATTGTCAGCATCATCATCATCATCATCATCATCAACACCATCATCATCAGCATCGTCATCATCAGCAGCATCAGCATTATCATCGTCGTCATCATCGTCGTTGTCATCATCATCATCATCATCATCATCATCATCTTCTTCATCATCTGCATCATCCCTCCTCCCTCCTCCCTCCTCCCTCCTCCCTCCTCTTCCCTCCCTCCTCCCACATCCCTTCTTCTCCTCCCTCTTTCGGCGTAGGGCGCTCGTTCTCATGTCTGAGTGACCTCTGGACAGCCTCCGAGCAGCCCTGATAATCGCCTAAGCGGTCCATGTTCCCCATGAGGTCGATACTAGGGACGACCCAGGATAGTCCTGAGGCAGCCCCAGGGTTCTCCAAACGGCCTTACGATTTTCGCGGCCGGCCCCGATACCTCGCAGGGCCCTCCAAAAGACTCGCACGCAAGCACCGCGAAATGCTTCGCTGGCATGTGACTTTGCCTTGTCCGCCTGATGGCCGGTGCCGCCGACCCTGAAGGGAGGCGGCGGCGGCGGCGACGACGACGCTGACGCTCTTGGGGCCGAGCCCTTCTTGGGGTGGTCTTGGGGGCCTCGGCTCTCGGAGCTCTGTTGGGGCCGGTGTCGTGGCCTGGGCTGGGGCCAGGGCCGGGGCCGGGGCTGGGGCCAGGGGCAGGTGCTGGGTCCCGGGCTGGGGCCAGGGCCAGGGCACGTGCCACAAGGGCTCCCACGAGGGCGCGAGGTTATTCGCGCTTCGCGGTCCTCTTTTCTTCTCCCCCTCCTCCTCGTCCTCCTTTTTTTTTTCTTCCCTTTTGGGGGGGCGGCGCGAGAGCGCGAAGTTATTCGCGCTTCGCGGTCCTCTTTTCTTCTCCCCCTCCTCCCCGTCCTCCTTTTCTTCCCTTTTGGGGGGGGCGGCGCGAGAGCGCGAGGTTATTCGCGCTTCGCGGTCCTCTTTTCTTCTTCCCCTCCTCCCCGTCCTCCTTTTCTCCCTTTGGGGGGGGCGGCGCGAGAGCGCGAGGTTATTCGCGCTTCGCGAGAGCGCGAGGTTATTCGCGCTTCGCGGAGCGCGAAGCGCGAAGTTGGAAGCCCTGATGCCAGGGCCCTTCGCGGAGCGCGAAGCGCGAAGTTGGAAGCCCCGATGCCAGGGCCGGGGCCGGGGCCAGGGCCAGGGCTGGAGCCTGGGCATGAGGTCGGGAGAGGGGCCCCGAGCTCGACAGGTCCTTGCCCCCCTTCTCCGCAGGGGGGAGCGCCCCGGGGAGGGGGGGGTCACGACTCCCAGGGCCCCTCCCCCGCACCCCTCGGGGACCCCGCGGGACACCCCCGGGGACCTCCCCCGGGAACCTTCCCAGGCCCCCCCCCCAGCAGGGAAGGAGTCAGAGAGAAGGGCTTCTCTTCAAATCAATTACGATTTGTTTGTTTTTCCGTGTGGCTGGATCGCTTGAGTAGGAGGGCCCAGGGAAAGAGAGGGAGCGGAACGACGACGACGACGACGACGACGACGACGACGATGACGACTACGAAAACGGAAACGCGTCTCTCACACGCCGAAGGGTCGTCGGCCCCCAGCAAGCATCGCGAAAGGCTTCGCTCGCATGTGACGCTGCCTCGTCCTCTGCTTCGGAGAATCCTGAAGGAACGGCTACAGAGGGGGAGAGGAGGAGCAGAAGACGTCGGTCGGCACAATCTCCCGGCATGGCGCGGGTGGCACGGGGACTGACAGCACTGGCTCATGTGAGTGCGTTTCGCTGCCAGTTTCGCAGCGACTGCTATTTGCGCGAGGAACAGAAGTGAGCAGGAAGATCAGGAGGAAACGTGGTAGTAAGAGGGGGAGGAGGGGAGGAGGGGGAGGAGGGGGAGGAGACGCCAGCTACACGTCAAGGTGACGTGATAAAAAGTTATGACGCTCAGATCTCCATCACGGGCTCCGCGCCTCGAGTTGCCGCGCGCTCAGCAGGGCCGCGCGCCTGCGAGGGCGACGGGGCACCCCGCAGCGGGCCGCAAGCAGCTGCGCCGCGACGCCCTGCATGAGCGCAGCATCCAACTGCGCCCGCCATCGGCGCAGGGCGTTCCCCGGCAGGCGGCCCCTCCGGTGGGCGCGTCTCGCGTGCGCCGCTGCGCAGTGCTCCAGGAGGGCCTCCGCGCGCGCCCCGAGGCAGCCGAAAGTCTCGTGCGCGGCAGGCCAGACCGCCCGGCCGCCAGCAGGTGGGTAGCGGTCGTCCTTCTCGCTCTCGGCCGCGCGCGCCGCGCTTCCCGGCTCCCGCGCAGCCCCGGGCTGGTAGGCGACCGACATGGGATGCCGGACCGTGACGTCGACCAGGCAGTCCGGCAGCTCTGCGACGCCATAAGCCCAGACGTCGAGCCATACCTCCGCGCGGCTGGTGGTGAGCTCGGGGACAAAGAGCTCGCGGCGGACGTACCCGCCCGCCTCCGCGAGGATGTCCGCGTAGACGTCGGCCAAGTCGTCGTGTCCGCGGGTCTGGGAGTGGTCCGCACTCACACATGGCCGCGTGGTCGCCGTGCGCGTCAAGCTGCTCGAGGCACAGCTCCTGCGTGGACGTCTTCTCGATGAGGCACTGCGCGCCGGGCGGGCACGGCGTGGGAATGCCCAGGCGGAAGCGCACGGCCTCGACCCACTCCCTGTCCGCAAGAGCGACGCCGGAGAGAGAGAGCTCGGCGGTAAGCGTCGATCCCGCGGTCGGCCCCGCCGCGCTGAGGAGGCGAGTCCTGTCCCGCGCCGCAGCCCCCTCGAGCAGGTCCGCGTAGCGCGCCGCGGCCGAGTGCTGTAAGTACTTGCTGAGCAGGTGCTGCTCCGGGCCCTCTGGGCGGAGCGGGTCGCTCGCGCTCTCTGCCAGGTCCGAAGCAGGGCGGCCGCGCCCAGCGAGGGCTGCGAAGCCGCAGTCGCGCAGCATGTCCAGAATGCCGTCCGCAACAGCATCGTCGACGCCGTCGTACTGCTTGGCGTCGCGGGCGATAGCGGCCTCCGCGCCGCCGCGGGCGGCCCAGGACGTGATCTCTGCACGTAGGGCAGGGCCGTGCTCAACGAGCCGCGCCGCCCGCGCCAGAGGGACAATGCGCGAGGGCACGTCCACCTGCAGGCCGGCATACCAGACTGGCAGGCTGATCTGCTGGAGCTCCGCCTCGGTGAGCTGGTCTGGGCGCAGGTCGATCGATGCCGCGACGACGCACACGACGCTCTGGTCCAGGACACGGGCGTGGGGCAGCAAGGCGCTGCACGGTAGGACTCCCGCATCGTAGTCGAGCGCGTGGGCAACGATGCCACGGCGTAGGGCGAAGGCGGCCTGCTTGGCCCTTGCCGGAGGTGCTAGCCGCATCATCTCGAGAGCGGCGTCGGCGAGGCGGATGGCCCGGTCCAGGCGCTGCTGAGTCTGCTTCGGAACGCCGGCGGCGTACAACGGCATGGCCAGGTCTCCGCGCGCCTCCGTGCCGAGGAGATTCAACCCGTGAAGGCGGTACGGGACGCGCGCCGCGAGGGCCCGCGCGTCGCCGGGGAGCGCCTCCACAGGGGTGCCGGCCAGCGCGGGCACGTGGAAGGCGCACTTCGCGAGCTGTAGCGGGAGGTTGCGGGTCGCCGCAGCCGCTTCCACTGCACTGCGATCACCAGCGGCGCCTGCATCAGCCAGTCGTCGACGTAGAGCCAGTGGCGGATCTCCAGCCGGCAGGGCTGCAGGCGCGGGTCGTTCACGACGACGTGCCACACCACGGCGATGACCATGCAGAAGGCGGGGTGGCCCTCCTGGTTCCCTTGGATGAGGCTGCCGTGTATGAAGCAGGAGTGCCAGCCCTTCCCATTCGCGTCAGAGAGGAACACCTCGACCCGGAGCTCCCAACAGAGGATGGCCATGGGGGCGGCCACCATGGGGGCCTCGGCCACGGCTGCCTTCAGGGCGTCGGCCCATCGCACCTGCCCAACAGCGTTTTTGATGTCGAGGCCGATGAGCGCGCGGTGTGGGAAGGTCCGCGCGGCGGCCCTGACCTCCGCAATCTCCAGCTGTGTTCCGGCGCAGCGTCCAGCTCCGTACTGGCGCTCCCCGACCGCGCCCGCGACCAGCATGCCGGCGCCCAGCAAGCACGTCCCCATGGCGAATTTGGCATGAGCAAAGCTTCGCCTTGCAAGATGGGGCGGATGCTCTCACACAGCGCCGTCTTGTAGAACGGCCGGGCGAGCGCTCCAGACCAGAGACTCGCGAGCCATGGGCTGATGGCGCCACGGGTCCAGCAGGAACTCCACTCAGCCAAGGCGCGCGGCCCGTCCGGGTCGGAATAGACACAGGACGTGGCTGTTCCGCCAGCCGCTGGGCCCGCATCCGGCCGCGGGCCTGATAGCAGCGGCCTGGCGGCCAACGAGCCGCAGCGTGACCTTCAAGCGCTTCTTCTTGGGCATGGCCGCCGCCGCAGCGAGCGCCTCCCGCAGCGCCACTTCGTCGGCCGGTTCGAGGGGGTCGGTGTGGAACAACGTCTGGGCGCCCTCGTCTGCAGCAGGCCCGGGGGGAACCCGAGGGCTTCCGACCAGGATGTCGCGCCCCCCGCGCGCGCTGCCGTGACGGATCTTCACGGTGGCTGCCTGGGCTGCAGGGGCCGTGAGACGACCCTCAGCGTCGCGCGACGCTGGCGAGGTCGTGGAGAGAGTCCCTGACCAGCTTAGTCCAATCTCCTCCAACCGCAGAGCGAATGCGGGCGCGGAGGATTGCGTTGGACCCGGAAGACGCGCGCAGCTCCTGCTCGTCGTGGTTCCCAGGCTCCGTTTCGTCCACGGCTGCGCGGAGGAGGAGCTGCGTCGCCGCCCCGCACAGCCGGTGCGCGGCCTCAGCCGCGGCGCCCCCTGCCTCTGCTCCGGCACGGGCCGTCGCATCGACGGTCAGCGCCCGGAGGATGCTCGCGACCTGCTGCCTGAGGGATCGCGGAACCCAGATCCGCGGCGCCCGCGGGAAGGCAGCTGGGAGTTGCCGCAGCAAGTGCAACAAAGCGTCATTGCCCGCAACACCAGCAGGCACCGCGTCAGCAGCGGCCCCTGCGGCGGCGTCTTGAGCGGCGCGATCCACGAGCGCGGCGATCGCCTCGGCGGCAGCGTCTGGCGGCGAAGCAGCAGCTGGGCCTCCGAGGGCCCGCGGGGTTGGCGGGGCGGCGACGGGCTGGCCCTGGGCAGGGCGCGCCGCCACGAGCCGGGCGTCGTCAGCCAATTCGGCGGCGCCTGGCGGGCCGCAGGCAGGCCACTGCCCCGCGCGCGCGCAGGAGGAATGGCAGCCAGAGCATAAACCTCGGCCGCGCGCCCTGCAGCGGTACACGGTGGAGGCAACGAAGCGGCTGATGTCGCCGTGCCGCCCCCGCTGGCGGCCTGGCCGGGCCTCCAGGATCACGCGGCACAAGCGGCATACCTCGGGCCTCTTCGCGGGCGTCTTCCGCATGAGGCCGCCGCAGGAGGCGCCGTGCTCTGGCGGCGCAGGCGGCGGGGGAACGCCCGGGAGCGGGAGCAACGCAGCCGCGGCCGCGCCTGTGGGCGCGGAGGCACGTCGAACTCCGGGCGGGCCTCGAAAGCGGGCTCGGAGTCCAGCTCGACGATCCCCTCCCCAGCCTCCACGTCATCCGCCTCCTCCCCCCCCTCCTGCTGCCTCTGCTGCTTGCTGGCGCCCGCTGAGCCGGCATCCCCCCGAGCAGCGGCAGCCGGCGCCGGCGCGGAGGACGGGCTGGCATCCCCCGGAACAGCAGCAGCAGCGGCGGCAGCGGTCACCGCCGGCGCGAGCCGCCCGACACGCGCGGGCGGGCCCGCCGCTTCCTCCTCCGCCACCACCTCCTCCATCTCCGTTTCCTCCTCCAAGTTCCCTCTTCATCGGCCCCTATGACAGCGCATCTCCATTGGGGGAACTGCCTTGTTGGAAGACAACCGTTTGAACACCCTGAAGCATGCCTAAACATTGTTCTGGGGATTTCAACGCCGCAAGGGCTTCGCCCCACGCCGCCGGCCCCCTGTGTCGGATAATGGGGGGTGCAAAAGCTAAACCATGAGGCATGGGCGCCGCCGCGAAGCAATGTCGGAACCTGTCCGTTGAAGACCGCGCCGAGCCAGGAGCTGGGCGCCCGCGGGGAAATAGTCGCCCTCCGGCAGCACCATTGGAATAAGGCGGTCATGCAGGCGGGGCTCGGCCAGTATCACATTGGCACGTGCGACGACGGCTCGGGCGCGGAGGGCCAGCCGGGCGCCCCGCGGATCCACTCGAAGTTGCCGCCGCCCGACCGCCGCGACCACCTGCCATTCCACAACCGCCTGATGAAGCTGCGCGGCGTATCCCTGCAGGCGCGCACGAGTGCGATTGGGGCAAAAGAGACAAGGGAGAGGAAAACTCCGCCTGCCTCCGCCAGCGCTCCGCGAGCCGCGCGGCAGCGGGGGGCTGCGGTGCCCGGCGGGGCAAGCGGGGGCCCCGCGCGGCCCGGGCGTGACAGCGGCGGCGGGCGGAGTAGCAGGAGGAATGCCCGGCGGCGCGGGAGGGGCCGATGCGGCGGCGACGGCCAGCGGCGCAGCGCCGGCGCCGGCCAGCGCGGCGGGCCGCGGTGCGGCACCGGCGCGGGCGCGCCCCAGCCGCGCCCCGGGAGTGGCATATTCTGCGTGGAGCGCAGTCGAATGAGAGCATGGGTAATCGAGCCGCCCACGCCTGCGCCAGGTGTCCGTCGGGATGCCAGGACGCGGGGCGCTCTCCGGCAGTCCTGGCCCCCGACCGATTAGATGCGGGGCGCTCTCTGGCAGTTTTGGTGCCCGATCTATACCCTGCGGCCTTAGTGCGCCTGTGCTGGGCAGCTCTGGCATGCCGGTCCCGCGCAGGACGCAAGAGCGGAGGAGGATCAGGGCCAGGAGTAAAAGGACGATCAAGCTAGCCAGTTCGAGCGAGTACATCCCCACCGTGATTCACACCCGCCCTCCCACAACATAAGAAACAGTGATGGCGCAATTGGTCACCGAAATAAGTCGTCAAGGTGGTGTGCCACAGCTGATGCAGCCGCCATGGCGGTTACCGATGGGGAAATCCTCGCCTGTCTCAATAGCTGCGCTGGCACTTCAGCGCGAGCCGAGGATGCCCCAGGAAGCCTCAGGAGGCACCAGGAGGCCTCAGGAGGTTGTGGGAAGCTTCAGGGGGCCCCAGGAGGCTTCAGGAGCCTGCGATTCGCACTGCCGACGACGAGACAGGCCACGTTGAAAGGAAAAGCGGAGACTTTGTATTGAGTGTTCACAGTCAGGATGGGAGGGCCCAGATTGATGTCCGCGCGCGATGTGCGCCGCGCCCCATTCCTGCCACGTAGTTCGCATCGTTGACGACAAGACAAGCCATGTTGGGAGGAAAGACGGGCATAGAGGGGAGAGTAGGAATATATACATATAAGGAGTAAGGATGACGAGGGTGTGGAACGATATTGCCATGCATCTTCCCGTCATATGTCTCCATTTGTATGCGTGAGTCCTTACAGATTTTCTTTGTTCACAAGTGGACGCGCACATTTGAAAGACAGGCGCCCTGCGGGCGTGGCGTTCACGATTCGTGGCAGACCGGGCGCACCCATCACAGCACCCGGCGCACCGAACGCACCCGGCGCCGAGCGAACCCGACGCACGTCGCGCACCTTCCGCACCGAGCGCACCCGGCGCCGAGTTCACCCGTCGCACCCGCCACACCCGGCGACCCGGCACCCGGCGCCGAGTGCACCCGGGACACCCGGCGCACCCGGCACCGAGCGCACCCAGCGCCGAGTGCACCCGGCGCACCCGGTACACCCGGCGGCCCGGCACCCGGCGCCGAGTGCACCCGGCACACCCGGCGCACCCGGCGCCAGCGCACCCGGCACACCCGGCACACCCGGCGGCCGGGCGCCCGCAGCGCCGAGTGCACCCGGGACACCCTAGCTGCGCACCGGGCGCCGAGCGCACCCGGCACACCCGGCACACCCGGCGCACCCGGCACCCCGCACAAGCAATTGTTATGCGAGGTGGTCCGCGTATGACGTACTTCCGCTGGGCCTCCCAGGAGCCTACGAAAGGGGCGACAGTTGCGCAGATCGGAAGCCCCCCCAGGGGGCGGCGAGGTCCTGAGGTGGTCCGCGTATGACATACTTCCGCTGGGCCTCCCAGGAGCCCACGAAAGTGGCGACAGCTGCGCAGATCGCAAGCCCCCCCGGGGGCGGCGAGGTCCCGAGGTGGTCCACGTATGACGTACTTCCGCTGGGCTTCCCAGGAGCCCACGAAAGTGGCGACAGTTGCACAGATCGCAAACCCCCCAGGGGGCGGCGAGGTCCCGAGGTGGTCCACGTATGACATACCCCGCTGGGCCTCCCGGGAGCCCACGAAAGTGGCGACAGTTGCGCAGATCGGAAGCCCCCCAGGGGGCGGCGAGGTCCCGAGGTGGTCCACGTATGACATACCCCCGCTGGGCCTCCCAGGAGCCCACGAAAGTGGCGACAGTTGCGCAGATCGCAAGCCCCCCAGGGGGCGACGAGGTCCCGAGGTGGTCCGCGTATGACGTACCCCCGTTGGGCCTCCCAGGAGCCCACGAAAGTGGCGACAGTTGCGCAGATCGGAAGCCCGACGGCGCGAGAGAAGAGGAGAGGGGAACACAGGAAACAGGAGAGAAGGAGGAGAGGAGGAGAAGGAGGAGGAGGAAGGACGGGGCGACCACATTGCTCTATTCAAAACGAGAACCCAACACAGGAGGGTTGGGAAGTAAAACTCCAGTGCTAAGCTCAAAATAGACCAACCCGACCAGTCAGACCTGATGCAGCAAACAGCGTGCAACGCAAATGCAGCACATTGCAAAGCAACAACACATACAATGCAAAACAATTACGTTTCGGTCGTAGTCGTTTGCGCTGCCTCTCTGGACCTGCTCTAAACCACTCTCGCCTGCATCCTAAACTAAAACTTCAGCACTAAGCTCAAACCAGACCAGCCAGACCAGACGCAAAAAAAACTGGAATGCCAACAAGCTGCAACGCACAAAACAACAGCAATGCAACAGCAACTGTTTCTAGGTGGTCGTAGTGGTTGACGGTTCCTCCCTGGACCTCCCCTAACCCACTCTCGCCCGAATCCCAAGCTACAGGCTTCATGATTAAGCTCAAGCCAGACCAGCCAGACCAGATGCAAACAAAAGCAAAGCACACAAAAGCTGCAAAGTAAAAACAACGTGGCATGCAACACAACAACTGCAAAGAAACACACATGCAATGCACACGAAAACATCCTTTCCTAAGGCTTCAGCACTAAGCACAAACCAGACCAACCAGACTAGCCAGACCAGATGCAACACAAACTGCAATGCAGAACAAGCTGCAGAGCAACACAACTGAAATGCAAGACAAAACGGTTTCTCGGTGGTCCTAGTGGTTGGCGCTGCCTCCCTGGATTTCCCCTACACCACTCTCGCCCGAATCCTAAGCCCAGAACTAAGCTCAAACCGCTCCAACCAGACTGGCCAGATCAGATCTGAAGCGTCAAGCTCAAGCCTGAGCTTCAGGATCTCTCTTTGTAAGCTTGGCGTGCCGCGGTGCGCTACACGGCTAAGAACGTCACATGTATAGTATTTCTATGTACACATTGTCTAGTGTATGCATGTATGTATGTATGTATGCATGCATGCATGCCTGCATGTATGTATGTATGTGTATATATATATATATATATATATATGTATATATATATTTCTATATTTATATATATATAGACATATACATATACATTATAACGGCGCACCGGATGGGGGCTCCGGGGCCGGGACCCCGACACTAATGTGCGGACTCCGGGGGGCAGGAGGTTTTTTTCTCTTTTTTTCTCATTCGTCGGGGCTTGCTGGAGGCCTCCCCGGTCAGACAAGACGGCCCCAGGAGCGCCCAAGACGGCCCAAGAAACTTCCAAGAGGCCTCCAAGAGGGCTCCGAGATGCTGAAGATGGCCGCCAGGCCACGCTGCACTTGCGTTGTCGTCATCGGACTTGGCACCAGGAAATGACACAATGCTTACGACCAGACAGAAATTCCGAGATGTTCAACCGTCGTTGCTACTCACCTTGGACAGACTTATTCGGAGACGTCCTCCGGCAGACACGGCGCGGGTTATCCGCAGGGATTTGGGGAACACGATGCGAACACTACAGAATGCTCACGCGCAAATTCCGAATGGTATCCGTGATGCTTCAGCTGGAGATACATTCCTCGGATTGGTGGCGAAGACGCTTGCA